AATAAAATTCTTAAAAAAAAAAAAAAAAACAATTTCATAACCAAATGGTACCACTGCAAATGCCAGGGGAAGGAGACAGCAATAGCTTCTGATCAAATTCAGTTCATGTTAGGGAGTGGGGCTATTGTAGGACTCATATATTTGTTCTCATATATTTGTGTATGTATAAAATGCAGCACAATTAGAAAGGAGATGAAATGAGCTATTCAGAATTCTCAATGTCAGGCCTTATGCTGCAGATTCTTCCACTGACATTTAGTCTGTGTCCAGCACCAAGTAGGCTTTTTCAGGTATAGATTAACACCATATTTCAGGCATGACATCCAGTGAAGTCAAGCAATTTACTCAGATTAGCAAAATAATATTTCAATTTGTTTATGCAATATGTAGAGTTATAGCAATTATCTTTAACTTTTCTCTAAAGACCATATTACCTCCTTTAGGAAGATTCTCAGAAGTGACTGAGTTAGAAGATATGAATATCAGAACAGTAAAAGTGATTGTATACTATACTATCTCTCATTAAATACTTAAGAAATGTTAGCACATTACATTAGTGATGAGCTGAAGACTAGAAGCAGAGCCCTGAAGACAATTGGAAGGATTCATCTTTTCACATGACACCCATTTTTAGAAATTCTCATCTGTAGAGAGCTTCAGTAGGAGAACTGAATGGGAGAATGGGAGGCATCATCTTCTCTCCTTTATTTCCTAAGGGAGCAGTTAGACATCACAATCACATTTAACACAATGTGTATTTCTATTTGCTTTTTATATCCCCTTCTGTTCCTGCAAAGAAAAAACATTTTGAAAGCAAGGACCATTTCAGTTTGTAACTCCAGCCCACTGTGCATTGCCTTGGCATTTAGTAGAGTTTTAATATCTGATGAATGAAGCAGAGAAAAGCTTTTTTAAAGTAAAGTCCAAATGGAAAATTCTATTCTTAGCGCATTGGGTGCTTTGGCCTCCCCCACAGAGGCTGAATCATAGGCCATGGGCTGCCAATGTTGGACGTGCATTTATGCAGAACAACAGACTCGGCAGGAGTAGCAAAGATGAGTGTGGTGGTTCTGGTACTAAGGGCTGCACAGCAGTGAGCTCTCCAAAGAAAAAATAAACCAAATTGAAGCCCGGTGCTCTTGGCAACCCCTGTCTCCAGGAGTCTTTTTTTGATTCATAACCGAGGCAGTGTTTGTACCATGGAGACTGAAGGCCTAGAAGCTAAAGCATTCTAGCTGCCAGCCAGGAATATTTTGCTCCACTAGAAGTAGGAGACAGAGATGCCCAAGTCTTCCAGAACCTAGAGCGAGAGGCCACATGTCCTGCCTCACATTACCATCTCATAGCACTGGACTCACCAATGCCCTGGACTCCTGTCTCATAGGTATGACTGATTCTATACCCTAAGACAGTATTGCTAAAACCTGTGCCTGCATCAGAATCATCCAGAGTTTATTCAAACACAGATGCCTGGGCTCCAGTTCTGGATGACTGAGTAGAGCTTGGGTAGAACCAAGAATGTTCATATCTAATAAATTTCCAGGGACATGGTAGCTGTAAGCCTGGGGACCATGCTTTGAGCACCACTTTTTCTAAGGAAAGCCATAGTGTATTAAGAACGGAGCAGTAGAAATAATCCATTCTGGGTTCAAACAATAAAGAGACGTCTGTAGAGCATTTTAAAACAACAATAAAGGAACTTAGCAGGGCATAGTGGCACACACCTGTAATCATAGTACTATGGAGGAGGGGAAGAACTGAGGCAGGATGGATCAATATGACCTCCAGGCTGGCCTGGGCTATATAGTGAATTCAACACCAGCCTAAAGTGCATAGTGAGATTCTGTCTCAAACACCCTCCACACCACCAAACCATAACAAAACAAAACAAAACAAAACAAAAAAAACTTTTTGCAAGGCTTTTGCACCTTACAAATTATGAAAAAAGGCTGAGCTTCAGGCAAGACAATCAAGACTCTGACATTCCTGTCTGGGGCTGCTCCCATCAGCACAGACAGTGAGGCACTGCCCCCTAGCAAGGTTGTTTGTGAAAACCAGCGTACTAGAGCTGCTGGAAAAAGCGATTTGACTTAAAACAAGGGGCAAAAATTATACCCAAGTCTTTTTGTTGTTGTTTTTTTGTGTGGTGCTGGAACTGGAAATCAGCCTCCTGAGCATGCTAGGCAAGCACTCTAACACTAAGCTACAGCCCAACTCATGACAAGTGGTGCTGTCAGTGAAAGTATTAAACTCTGTGGGAATCGAATGGAGAAAGTCCTGTTTCTATAGCCTAAAGCTGGAGGAAATGAAAAGGGAGTTATTAGATATGAGGAAGCTGTGGCAGGCCTGGGTGAGCTCTTCACACATCCCTGGCTGCCTTGAAGGCTGCATACACACATGCGTACTCATGAGACTTCCTTGTGGACTTGGCTGTGCACAATTGCAAGAAAGTGCCCAGAAGGCCTATCAGAAAAGCAAAGCCTGTAGAGGACTTGAAATTATCTGAACTTTCAGTGTGCCCTGAAAACCACACACAGATTTACAGGCAAAGAGTGAAAGCTTTACTGGAGCTAGGTATTGGGCAAAACCTCTGACTAATCACTGTTTAACCACTAAAATATTTAGACACAAAGACAGACAGTAGGAAGCCAAGATGAATAATAAAAATAAGAATTAAAAAACAGGCTGGGGATATGGCTCATCCTTGGTTGAATGTATGACCCTAGCATGCACAAGGTCCTGAGTTGAATCTCCAGTACCACTTCCATAAATAAATAAATAAATGTTAATTTAAAAAAAGAAAGAATTAGAAAACAACAACCAGCTGGATGTGATAGCA